GGTTGTATCTTTAGTGATTAATGGTAAGGATTGTGTCATTTTGTCGGCTTTCAGCTCTCCAGTTGTCCTTTGGTCTGTTTTAGGGGCTTGTCTTGATGTGCTACCCTCCGCAGGGCTTCGATCTAATGAGATACTGAGAGCAGAGACTCAGATGGCTTAAGGGGAGGATTGATAGGTTCTGAGTCTGAGTGCAAAAATTATTGCATTCTCCCATGAGTATGAAGAATAATAGGAGGGACCTTTGAGTTTCAGCCATGCAGTATTTGCATGTCTGTAAAAAAGAAAATTGACAATTATTCTGTAAATGTTATTGTTGATGAAAGTCGGTCTAATGTGAGCATCATGCACATGAGAGGTGATTCTGTAAATGTTATTGTTGATGAAAGCCGGTCTAATGTGAGCATCATGCACCTAACGCCTTAGTGAGTGTAATTTTGGCAGAGAGTCCACCCACGTGTGAACACAACAGTATAACAAGAAACATTCAAAAATAGTCCGCCGTGCATGTATGGTAAAACCTCGAAGCAAATTTTTCATATACAAGTTTATACTTCTTAGTTCCTCTGAGGAGGGTCTTCCAGGGTCCAGGCAGAAGGCACTTCAGGAGTTTCATCTCTTTTTCCAAATCCCTGGAATCCCTGTCTTTAAGAGGCAGGAGGTCACATCGCTCACTGTACTGCCGGGAGAGACAGAAACAAAGAGAGACAGATGGAGACGGTGACAAGGACAGAAAGAAAGGACGGATGAGAGGAAGGAGTAAAGGAAGAAAAGGAGTGATTGAAGGAGGGAGGAAGGGAGGAAGAAAGGCAGAAAGGGAGAGGAGATACAACACACTTCCTTGCCTCAGGTCTCTGAGACAAACTGCACCAGCGAGGGGATGTCAGTTATAAAGCACAGTAAAGTGTACACACACCCCCTCCCCCCACCGGCACTCGTGAGCACTTCACACAGACATGATGCATTACCAACTCTAGTCTGAATCTAATGTTGTTCCAACTCCAAACTAAATACTCAACATCAGAATTTCCCTCTCATTTAGTGGGGACCTGCAAAATGCCGACTGGACCCCACCAAGAACAAAGTACTAAAAAATGTCCCCACAAGTATAAGTATATATAAGGTGTACACGTGTACACAGGGTATGTATAATAAGGTACTGTAAAAACCCCAAGGGTAAAAGTTGTATGAAAAGTCTGCAGGAGAACACTAAAGGAAATCAGATTAAAGAATTTCTTCTATACTTTCAAAGGCACTTGGACTGACATCGTTGCTATGGTGACTGGCCGACAAAGGTGTTGGCCTCAGTTTATGTGTGTGTATGTGTGTGTGCATTCTCCTTAGCATTTCACGGGTCGGGACAATGTTTGGCATAGCTGTTTTATGGGTCTGCGTGTACAGTGGGAGGGACGAGTGGGGGAGGCAGAAAGAGAGGACGGGACAAGGGTCAGAAACCAGACTCACAACACGACGAGTATAAAAAGCTGCTAAGTGTGAACCATGACAATGACTGTGGTTGAGGATTTCAACATCTTCACAGTTTTATCAACTGTTCAGTCTACTCTCTCTCTCTCTCTCTCTCTCTCTAATACTTTTTAATGACTCATTGAACACTTATCCACTGTAAACTACAAGACTATAAGAAAGAATTACCTTGTATGGTGTAAAATTTTAGATTCCCTTTACGCCGGTCTCCACTAAGTAGCTTCATGACAGCTGTGTTTACACTGAATGTGTAAATGTGTGTGTCAATATTATAGTCAATAAAAATTGCTCCAAAAAACTAGTATTGAAACGGGTGGGACATTTTGGAAGGTCTTTCAATCAGGCTCATCTCAAATTCATACAACTTACCTCAACATGTGTCACATCCTTTGTTGTTGTTCTTTTGTGGTGTGTATCTTGACAATTTTTTCCACTGGCTCTTTGGAAAAACCTACAGAGGCCTAGAGGAAAACACCATTAGTAAAATATTACATTTTATTGATTGTCATTGTTTAATGTACAATCAACAAAATCAAGGGATTTTCATTTATCGGCTAATGAAAGGACTGTGAGTCCAGAGTCCCATCGAAGCTGGATAAGTGACAATGGAACACTTGCAGAAATATTTAAACCCCAATAAAAAAAAAAGAATATGATGAGAATAAACTTTCTTACTTAGATTAATAAAGATCTTCCAACCTCTCGACTCACCCTCTTTATTTGTTTACCATACCTCTATGATTGTGTTAGCATTAATTCTTTAGTAAAGCACTTGGAGTAAAACTCACTGGCAGCTTTATGGGGTCTGGGTCTGTAATGACAGATAAGACAATAAACGGGAGTCTGTCTGTGACAGGCTGAAATTATGCAGAGAAGCCTCAGTGAGGCGACGGTGAACGTCCACAATGGAAGAACTGCCGTCTTTTGAGAAGGGCTGTTTACTATGCTGCTTTACAGGGCAGCTTCCAGGATGTCACTGACACACCATGCGTGTTGATGAGGTCAACACACACAAGTGCAAGACTAAGCTGCAGACACACACACACACGCACGAATGTGCACACAAAGTCTACAAGAGGCCACATTTCATCGTCACAGAGAGCTTTTAAAAGCCTCCTCAAACACAGGTTGTTGGTTCTGTAATTGCTGGATCCGACATTTTTGCTGCTGTGTGACTTTGCTGTGACTATCATACGAGACATGGGGGAAATATAAGGTTAGTGTAGGGCTGCAGTACCTTTGGCCAGGGTTGTTTACTTTGAGCACCGGCTCACTAACAGCTCCAAGAACAGTCCATACACCATGTCTGGGAATTGTAAACACAGAAAAAAAAGGTTGTTCTTGCTTTGTTTATGACAGTGAAACAAAAATAAAAAATGTTTTTGAAGACCAAATTCAATTTATCCTCAACCTCAATCTCAGGTTGCGTAGTGCATGGAATCGACATCTGCCGATCTGCTGTGAACCCCTGATGAAAGAACAAGCTGAAAGAAATGATTGTCACCAAAAAACAAACTGTCCAAAAAGAACATGATAAAAGATGTTGTGATTTTTTTTTTTTTGCTCTGTTTCATATGAAACCCTGGCTTGTTTAGTTGAACACAACCCTGAGAAGCTTGCAGAAATTGAAAAACGCCTCCGTCTTTTTTTTAATATTTTTTTCAAGTTGTTTATATACATCTGCTGCCACCTAGTGAAAGAGTATTCATGGGGCAGTGGTGGCTTGGTAATTAAGGAAGCAGACTTGGGTCTGGAAAGTTTCAGGTTCAAGTCCACCACAGCATAGCACTGTCCCCTACACACTGCTCTCCGGGCGCTTATGCTGCCCCCTGCAGACTTTGGTGATGGGTTAAAAGCAGAGGTCACATTTCGTTGTGTGCAGTCGGGTTGTTATTGTTATTGTTGTGTAGATAAAGACAAAGGCAAATTATTTGCAGTAAATAAAACTTAGTTTGCAGACTGACCAAGTGAAATTGAATAATTTTCCATGGCACAACTGTCGGGATTATTCTACTAACAGACGCCTTCTCTATGATTGGATTTCTGTCTTCCAGTCAGCAAATGTAGCTTTGACTGCCTCTCACGCTCCTGTTTTTCTTCCAGTTTACATGACAATATCAGCACTGATTGGACTCCACGTCTAAATCACCGACTAAGTCTTTGATGAAAATTATAAGAAGACGCAATTACCAGCAACCCTGTTACTAGATGCATTTTAATATAGGATCTATAGATATGCAGGTGTGTAAATATGCATCTGAAGATTGTGGTGCGGAATCAGCCGGTTTATTGTATGTGAGCTTTTCAGATCATTCAGAAGTTATAGCAAACATATAAGACAACATATAAGGGAGAAACTCCCTTATATGTTGTGTTATATGGTTGCTATATCTTCATAATGAAATACATTTTCACCTTTGAGACTTTTTATAAAATAATTAGCAATTGAAAACACTGTTTTTCATTTTCTGTATGTAACCGTAGGTTGGATTGTGTTTAATAATAAAACTCACGAGGCAGAACACAATTATAAAAATGCTTGGGATTAAAGAAACCAGAGTAGATCTTACACTCTTTAATCCAAGGATCAAAAATAGGACAATATACAGTACAAGAGTTTGCTTTAATCAACACTTCTTTTGCGTACAAGTTAAAAATACAGTATATCAGGTTATTTGTCTTTCTGGCAGTAGGAATAATTAAGAACCTTCTTTGTGAGTCTCAGTATTCTGGTTCTACACAAAGAAAATATATAGCTCCACCTACATCCTCCTCTCTCTCTGTCTCTCTCTCACACACATACTGTGATACAAATGGATAAAGACAGAAGTTATATTGAATTACACGTTTAAATGAAATATTGCCGTGAAACAAAGGTGAAACTAAAGATTGTGATACACTAGAACTCTTGGCTGGAACGTAGAGCTACATATTAGATTGCCAACTCCTGCATTCAAGCATTTCAACTTATGGCATTTTTTGAAAAGTAAAGTGTAAAAGTGTTTAATACGTTAGTGATAATGTGCCCTGGAAGGACTCATCCCACAGTTTTACAAGCGATTTGTTTATTCCTTCCGAACAAATGATGTATAACAAGAGCCCTATGAACGCAGTATTATTACAGTAGACCCCTGCCGATTTTTCCCTACGGCACTAATGATGTTTGATGGCATCGACACAACAACAGAACATAAACTCTGCGGAGTACGAGATTCATTTAAATACGTATTTTAGGTTTTTATTAAGGTCGGCCTATATAGGAAGGCAGGGTTCTATGAGGTATTCTGAAAAACTTGATCCCAAACCACTTGGTTGCCTTGCAGAAAATCAGGTGTATATATATATATACTGTACATATGTATGTATGATTTGAAAATGGGGCACAGCAAGGCAATTTCAAATACTTCATTTATTTGTAACACAGTGGGGAAATCCACTGATTTAGATTTTGTTTAAAGATAAAAGCATTCTTTTGGGAATTGCAATCCTATATGCCAAAAGGGGCGCCAAAAGGGGCGCTGAAGAAAATGATTTAGATTTAGATTTACCAGAAGAAACAGAGAAGAGAAATGACAAATGTTCAGGGGAAAATGTGATGGTAACATTAACTATTTTTCAGTTGGGAGATCAGTCTAAATCTAATTCCTTCAAAATTATTTTTCGATTTCTGGAGCCAGTCTAACCGCGTATACAACACAAGTCTATTTGACACATTCCTGTACTGTTTGTTTCAGATTCACAATTTAATTCTGCACAATGGAGTGCAGTTACACAAAGAAGTAGTTTCACATGATAATAATTTAGTTAAAATGTAATTATTATCTATTCAAGCTCAGCAGATGTAGTTTATCAAATGAGTCCCTAGAAGGAAAAAGGACATTAAATGACTTCACACCCCCTCTGTCCCCATCCCCTGTGTTTTACAGCCATTTGATTGCGTTGCTGTTCTAAAAAAAAAAAAAATGACATGTTTGTGTCTCTCTATGATTTTCTCATATCACAAATGTCTGGTAAACACCACTCCTCCGGGACATGTCACTTTGGGATGCTTTTTAGAAAATGAGGCAGAGCGTGAGACACTTTGTGCTGGAAAGGCACAGAGAAGAGAAAACCAGCTTTGAATTTCGCTATTTTAAAACTGGTCAAATGTGTGTGAAAGATACAATTTTAAACAGCTCCAGAGGTATCGTATAATTTTTTCCAGTTGAAAAAAAATGCTTTCTGGTTATTGCCATGGTTGTTTTTATGTCGTTTTGTTGGTTTTTTTTAATCTCACAGTCAGTTCTTTTTACAAAACATCCATAAGTCCATAAATGTGTGCACACTTTCTTGAAATGCAATAAAAACTAAAATCTGTACTTTACATATAGCTATAAATGATTTTATTTATAGCAAGAGCTACTCAACAGTCAGTACTTACTACGGTTTAAGGTTTAACCACCAGATGAAATCTGGACTGCAGGCAGGCCCGTTAGGCTTGACATCATGTCAATAAAGCCGGGGTCAAAACTATGTATATATGTCGGAGGGGCAGAAATTTTGTGGACAAACATGTTTCCCTTTGACCCTCACAATTTTGAAATCCAGTCACGGGTCACAATGAATGGTTTACTGGGCTGGATTTGGCCCACGGGCGGCCAGTTGGTAATCACTGCAATATAGCTACGAGGTCTTGCATTCCTATAATGTAACAGATAATGTGCGCTTTTGAGTTTTTTTTATTAATAGTTTAATTATTTGACAAATGATTCCTAAGATTCAATGGCTACCTCCCATATTGCAGTACCAGATGAGGGGTCAGCGGTCATGCACATTCAGCAGCCTTTTCCTGCCCAGAATGTGCAAATAATAATAATAATGATGTCCTGAACTTTGACAATATTACCTATAGAACTCTGCAATGAGGTTTGTAACCTGAAACCTTCATGGTGTAAGAAAACTGCACAATAAGTTCATTTTTTATTTCTGTAAATATTGTTGAAAAGCTTTTGTACTTTTACCCCAGGTGCTAACAGAATGTTGAATTAACAAACTAAAGATTTTACTTTGTATTGCATTTGTACAGTGTGTACTGTCCTGGGAATGTAAATGATAGAATATGTTGAAGAAAATAAGCTTCACTACTGTATTTCCGTCGTGCACATCATATCATCAAAAAGGAATATGAAACTGATCATCTGACATTAAGGTAAATGGACGGTGAGTCTCCAATTTTTCAACCGATGCATAAAATCCTTTATCGTTCCCTTGCATTTTCCTGAATTTTTTGACTGGTGGCGTCAGGGTTGTGCATTGTGGTCGGAGGTGCGTTAATTAGATCGCCTGTTGTGTAAAAGGGCTTTTCAGTATCAACGTTCACTGCCTGTCATGTCGAAGAGAGGACATTGAAGAAAAGCCAAAAGCCTTTCTGATGTGAAAACTGTGGCTGTGTTTGTTACTTTTCTTTGTTCTTTCTTCTCTTCGTCCTCCTCACTTTTCTTCAAACGCCCTCTCTGTGTCATCACTTCCTTGGATTGCCGTTTCTTTTGCCTCAGAGTTGTCAACAGATACGGGGGGCCGTGGTTGCTGTGCAGCGGCGGTGCTGTGCCCTGTGGGTCCTCTTTATATCTCATGGTGCTTGTTTACCACTTCAGCTCCTTCTAGTCTCCCCCTCAGCTCTCCCACCCAGCCTGTGAGCCACTGTCTTCCATCCCTCTCTTCTGAAGACACTGCCTTTAATTAGACCTCCACTGTCAACACGCCCCCACACACTTCACCTCTTCGCCTTTGACCTCACATTCTCACTTGCTCCAGCACTTACAGCTATCTTCCTCAGAAATGTCTCCCTAATTGGTGATTGCATATACAAACGCTCGCCTTTTACCTTGAGTTAGCAATTTTACCTCGGCTTTCGCTTCTCCAACTTGTTTCATTGTCCCTCCTTCCTCCCCCTCATCTACAGTAAAGACCTTAAACCTTAAGACCTTTTAGCCTTCGTGACTGTTTCACCCTCTTTCACATCTTCCTCTCTGGTTTCTCCTGTCAGTGCCTCATGGTGTTCCTGCCAAATTTGTCACCAAGTTGCTGGATGAGCAGGGCCAGTTCACCGGCAGCCTGAGACTTCTCCTCCAGGAGCTCATAACGGAGGCTGGAAATGTCTTGCTTGATCTCTTTCAGCTCACCTACAACACGGACACGCCAAACACAAACGTGATATTATGAGCACAAACGGACACCTGGGTGAGAAGGCTCTGTGCTGATGGTGAGCACATGCAGTCACACAGCCATTATGTACAGCGTGCAGAGTGGCGTGAGCTTCTTTCTTAATTTTATGGACCTTATCTGACACATGCAGACACCTTAATAGCACATGCTTCATGATCCACATGTATTATAAACACAGTACAAATCCCTCACAGACGAACAACAAAACTATATAAATATATATAAAAAATAGGAAACTGAAAAAATAGGAAAAGAAGCATATGGTCAAGTGTAGGTTGTTTGGTTAAGCAGCCAATAAGAACTGACTAATCAGAGACTAAAAATATGGTCATATTATCATTACAAGTTCTTTGCAACATGTATTATTCACTAAAGAAATATCTGTGTTTCTTCAACCCATGTATAGACAGCTTCATTTCCTTTGCTCTGTTGTCAGAGCCAGAGGGTTTCCACCTGTGTGTGTATCTATTTAGAAATTGATGTTGATGTCAGTTTGAATGTTTTGTCACTCTCTCCACTCTCCAGGTTTGCCTCCTAATCACTGACCCTTAAGGGTCACAGGTCACTGACTGGTAGTTCCTTCGATGGTGTCTGTGTGTTTGTTTCTTCCATTGTTTGACGTTGTATTTGTTGCGTACTCTCTGCTGTCTCATGCAATATAACAATATTGTCAAGACGGAGGTAACTTTGAAAAACATGGAATATAAATCCAATTTCGGTCCACGATAAAAGACACCTTGCTCACTAAAAAATAAAATACAAATGTCATTCTGGCAAAAAAAATTAAATTTTGTCTGCTTTTGCCTGCAGTGTGAATGTAATCTAGGACGTAAGAAAACTTTGTCTTTTTCACTTCAAGCAACAGCATCATGTAAATGTGAAGGATGAAATTGTCTTTTAAGCAAATGGGGTGACAATAAAAAACTAATTTTTTTACCTTCATTGACTTCATCACTCTCTCTGTCTACTTGGGCCTTCAGCACGTAGCGCTTAATCAGGCGCTTCATGATCTTCTGGAGGTGACCGTGATCAACAGACACAAGATGCAAACTTTTTTAATTACACTTTTCACACCACGGGCTCTTAATACTTTTCATGTGCAAATCCATGCAGCAAGTGGTAAAATATTGTGTTTCAAATGGATGGTGAAACGTTGTTCATTGATTTCTGGATGGTGACGACGGTGTCCTGCAGCTACAGCCGAGGCTAAGAGTCAATCCCTGGATGTAGGCACTATTCCTGGAAATGGATCAATACCTGTCACCTCACATACAAAAGTCTGATCAAATACAGTACATCTTAATGTGTAACGTGTGCATGTGCAGTTCTATAGGATGAACCCCTAACCCACACTGAGGAATGGGACCAAATCTCAGCAGACTCAGATGGCACTGAGATTTTCCTGAGGGTGGAAGTGACAGACAGACAGAATATCTTTCTGCACATTGCAACACTTTATGCTCATTTAACCAGTGCCTGCTCTCAGTCTGTTTCAAACAGCTCATTATAAGCATTTTTTTCCTGCCCTGCTCTCTCTCTCTCTCCTGTGATTTTCCAAGCCTGGAATCAATAAAGTCTCCCTCTCTCTCATTGTCAGTTCTTCCTTTTCCCCTTTCACTCACCACCACCTGTTCATCCCTGCCCTCCTTTCAGTCGTTGCCCTTTTATCCTCACACTAGTTACATTATTTCCTCTGTCTTGTCTGAAGCTCATTACTCTTCCTCTCCCCACCTCTCTCTCTCACCCCTTCATACACTATGTCTCCTAATGTCTTTCACACCTCAGCATCATTCCTTCATCCCGTCAACCTTTATCACCCTTTAGCCACCGTCCGTCCAACTGAAGTGCTGCGAACGTTTATAAACATCCGTCATCTGAGGTGTTTCTTTCATTCCTTCCTTCCTTCTTGTTTCATCATTTTTATCATTGGCTTCGTCTTCACTTCAACATTTCTTGGCTCACCGTCTTACCTGATATCTAGTCGGGTGTTTCCGAGATTTCCGAGGGATAAACTCTTCTCCCGGTCGCGGGTAAGACCTGAAGCACTCGACCTGCTGAAACAGCAAAACAAACACACGGCAGATGTGTAAGCGACGAGTGAGAAGGGCTCTTTGTAGCAGACACTGACATCACTTGACCAGAGCCAATCTGTATTAACTCAAGCCTGACCTCGTCTTGACACTTCAGTGCTGCGGAATGAAAGGTGGCTTTAAAATAACTGTGCATAAATGGGAACTATCGTCAGAGCCAGCCCCGACAGATGGAAGGCATATCGGTATTTCATTCAAGCGTTATGAAACTTTGGAAATAAATAATAAAATAAAATAAGAGAGGAACTTTTCTGAAGAGAAACTCACAGAACTTCACAGTCTTCACCCAGGTTTCCAGCTGTAAACTCAGGCAGCTCCAGGGCACAACTGAATCATTCCAAGTTATACTGACTCTAAATGACTCATGCTCATGTCATATTGGATTTATTGGGTTAATTTTTTAAATGTAAGCGTTTCAGTGGGAATGGTTGTTTACCTATAAGTACTAAGCACTAGCACTACAGGTGGTAGAAGATAGATGTATGTATGAATGAATGAATGAATGAATGAATGAATGAATGGATGAATGGATGTGTTTTCATCACATTGTAACATTGTAATTAATACAAATCTCTTCAATCTTTTTTTTTTGTTCATATTTAGCCAGAGAAACCACAGTCCACCGACTGGGAAACAGCACAGGGTCCTTTCCGGAGCTCACTCTACATTCTCAACGTCACACCGTAGCCGTCTTTGTGTGTGTTTGTGTTGTGAGGATGTATCGATTGTCGGCTGCTCATGTTTGGGTCTGCAATTCAACTGTCAGAAACACAGAGAAGTTTAGACGCTTAAGGAAGCAGCAGGGTGTAACCCATCTTGTCCTCATCTAAAACCCGCCCATGCATTTGAGCAGACACAGGCAGATCCAATGGTCTGACTAATAGCTCAGCCGAGGCGCTGAGGTGAGCCTTTGGAGCGGAGGAATCAAACGGAGGAAATGCCTGTGGACAAGGCCGTGCCGGAGATTGATTCCGTGTTAAATGGACCCGTGCTGTTTTCTTCATGCAAGACTTTCTTTTCATTACACTGATTTTATTTAGATGGACAATCCTGCAGCGTGGACGTGTGAAAGTGAACAGAGCTCAAATTGCATTACAGCCCAGCAGTGGGAATATAATATATAATAGCTCTCTGCTCTTTACCACCAGGCCGTCTCCGTACAGTACGGCCCATATACTATAAATATCATGACTTTCTCATTTGGGCAGTTTCACTGAGGAGATTTGTGACTCACTTTGTAAAACTTTCCAGTTTTAACAATTCATCTGCTGACGCCTGATTGTAAACAAATAAAATAACCTCCATTTCCCAAAAGGAACAGATGGAAATAAAGAAAAAGAGATTAAACAAAAAGCACTCAGCATGTCGCCCGGCTGATAAGCAAATCCAAAATCCAAATTACACTAAAAGATTTATGACATGCTGAACTGAACTGCTGTAATGCAATTCTATTTGCATTGGCAATAAGTGAGAAATAGAAAGTTGCACATTGTAAGTAAAATGTTTGTTAACTATTAATATATTTCCATTGTGTACTAGAATCTCTCCCAAAGCTCGACATTGGCAACAAAGACATCTCCAGCTGACCTTTGTCTGTGAATTGATCTTGCCCATCTCCAGCTCGTTGCCATGATGGTGACCGTTGGCCTTGCACAGTCGGATCAGGCAGGACTTGATGCGAAGGACTAGGTAGTAGAAAGACTTTGGGCTGGGAACCAGGTTGTAGGGAGCGGGCAGAGTTCGACCCTCGTCGAAGTAGGAGAGCCACAGTTTAGCTCGAGCAAACTTCCACTCCACGTCTGCGTCTTCCTGTGGAAACACACACACACACAAACACACACACAGTGATTTGAATTTTAAAACCCAGAATTCCCAAAAAGGATGTTCAGTATTTTCAGTCAGTACATAAACCTGCTGAAATTATAGATTTGACTAACAAACTGCATTTTATACTCCAGATGTATCATTAATACAACAACTACAGTTTTGTATCCAATAATTTTAGTTTTAAAGTTTTAACACTGTACGTCGGAATGATGGAACAAGACTTTCTTAATAAATGTACGCGCGGGGGCGATGTAATCACGAAACATCGTAGGTCGAGGACGTCGTAAACTGAGTACCTCATATCGATGTTTTTTACATTTTATTTATTTATCATTTTAGTCAAGTTCAAATGAACACAGCGACAGAATGATGCAGGCTGTTTAACCCATAATTCCACAGTCCAGTCAGTTCCATCCTTTCCAGGCCCACAACTACATACCCAGCATCCACCTCTGGCCTCCGGGGGCGTTTAAATATATTGGCTCATCATTCCTCCCATCTCATGCATGTAATGTGCTGGGAGTGTTTAAACCAAGAACCTGGACGCTGAGCTAAAGTGTGCTGCTGACGCTGTAACAACCCTCTTATTGGACAGTGGAATTAGCTGATTTCCCAAAACTGGTTTCGCCTGGACTGTGGGAAGACAGTGGAAAAACTCTATGAACTCGTTAAATAAAACATCTATACAAACATGGAATTGTTTCACTAAATAAGAAGACAGTGGAAAAACTCTATGAACTCTGGAATGAACATGGAATTGTTTCACTAAATACGAAGATTTATAGATTAATCCAGTGTTTCCTTTTTTTTTATTTTTCTTATTTGCTCATATTATACTGTTAAATTATTAATGCTTAGCCACCAGTTGACCTGATAATAATCATGCTTCTGTGAATATGAGATAAAATTTACCAAACAGAACAGTAGGTCTCTAACTGCTTTGAACATGTTCTCTTTGTTTTTGTCAGTGATTTGTAATTAGTAAAAAAAACAACAACAACAAAAAAAATCTGCCATAGCGAGAGAAAGTATATAAAAACAACTTTGAACACAAACAATAGAAAAATAAGTGTAAAAATTAAAATTCTAACATTCTCCCCAAACGACAGAAAAATATTTCTGCTTCAGTTGACTGTGACATCTTTTCAGCTTCCCTGTTTGGACTGTGAGTCCTGTTTGTTTGTTGCCATTCTATTGATTACGCACAACTCACTGCTCTGCTTTCAGCAGAATCTGTGATTCAGCTGCAGACACAGAGGTGATCAAAACCCTGGTCCTCACTGAGCCGATTTTACACCTCCCCCTCCCACCTCCCTCCTCCTCCTACCTCTATCTCCTGGTAGGAGTTGTTGATCATGGCGATGAGCATGTTGAGCAGCACCACCACCATGGTGACGTTGTAGACGCCGTACAGGACGTAGCCGATGTTCTCGATGAACTTGTGGTCGTACTTCAGCACCACGGAGATTACTTCAGAGAGACCAAAGATGGACCAGAAGAGAGTCTTGAAACTCTCCTCTACGCTGCAACGAAAAAGTAAATTTGACTACAGTATGATGACGATTGTAAGTCGAAGCACAATCTCACCTAGTGCACCAAACTGGTTCTACCAGTGGATTCCCAAAATGTTACTGAACAATTGGTGTAATTACCTCTAATGACCTAGAAGTCGACCTAAATTAAATCTTGGTGTCTTGATCAGTCTTCTGGAACAATGCTGGTTGGATTGAATTTGAAGGAAATGTCACGGGTCACATGACCATTCGCCCTGTTAATTATACGTGTGATGTGCTTATGTACAAAATGAGAAATGTGCCTTTTTCTTAGTAGTAGGGTGGAGGAGGAGGGGGAGAGAAGGGAAGGAGGAGGGATCTGCTCGTTTGAACTGCTGGAGGGCATGTAGCATGAAGGAGGCTGGGGAGGGAGGAGATCTGTCGCCCCCTGGTCTTTAGCTGTGGGCATCTTCCATATTAACTCCTTTCAAAGGGAGAGAGTTTCATTGGTGCACAGACACACACTCTAACCTCTCATAAAGGAGGACAAAGACCCTCTTTAACCCCGGGAACACATCTGTGCAAGTGTCTGAATGCCTTTGCTTTTTCCAAAATAAATTCCCAAACATCTAAGAATGTTCTCCACCTTAGCAGTCCCCGGACTGAGCAGAATCTGTAATTACTTAGTTATTAAATTCTCCAACTCCACTCTCCAAGACCTTCCACGTTGTACATTAGAAACACTTGTTGGCAATTACTCCTCCTGACTGACCTTCTCTTCTCTTTTCTTCTCTAATTATGGAAATTACTTTATGCACATTACTGCACTTGACTTGAACAGCATGAAAAAGGGCGCATATACAAAGTGCATTTACAGCTTTTAAACCTTTGCCTCCTCCTCTCCCCTTGAGCCTTACTGATTTGTACACGTGACTGTACGAGTACTGTACGCACACATCATCGTCACCTACAGCAGATGTGACTGATTCACATTTGAGATTTCAGCGGTCTTGTCAAAGTTTGAAAATAAGTAAACAAACGACTATCAGCACGCTCGACTGAAACAAAAAAAAAAAATTACAATTAAAATAGTTATGAATATGAACAAAGTCGATGGAATTGTCGAAGTGCATCTGCTCACCCCAGCTGTCTCATCACGGCAGGAGGTCTCACAACAATAAAACTGGTAACTGATTCTCGTGCCTTGTCAGACTGAGGAACCTCCACATAAATATGAATGCTTTCTGTCCAGTTTTACTTATTTAAAGAAATGTGTTCATCCACAGGTGTTCATCTCAGGGTTTTGTACTTTCTATATAATTAGACTTAAATTAATCCATAACTTTTAAATGTTAACTGATGACAATCATAGCACCGCCTACAGGAAAGGAAAGACAAGTAATGGCTTTCTGATAACAAAAAACAACAACAAAAAACAAGAGCAGCACAAGAAAAGTTTGACATCAATCATGTACTTGGGTCCTAGCTACCCCTGGTCCGTAGTGGTGTTATTATGTCTCTGCACGCATGAACTGTTCTTGTTCTAATCCCTTTCCAGCCCTGAACCCTGACAGGTGTGAGACACAGAATTAAAAACACACAGACAAGAACTTATACATGAATAATGTTTTTTCTTTTTAAGTCTCATCAGGGAAAAGTAAATTCAAATAAAAGCAAGAAGGTCACTCCACGCTACAAGGTATTGATTTCCTCAACCACTCAGGTGTAAATTATTTATGCTCAGGCCGACGGCGAGATTATTTGCATCTGGAAAAAGAGACTTTTACATTTTACTGCAGCCTGTATGTGACATTTGAACTGGGTGATACCACTCCATCTGAGTGAATCCAAAGGGTGCACATCACCATGACGAGTGCACGTGAGAATGAAAACCCACTCTGTGTGTTAGTTGCAGGTGGTCATCCTGCTGCTGCTGCAGACACCAGACGAACCCAGAAAAAGACATTTCTCAGTCTCTACTCACTTCACACACATCCTTCAGCTTATCCTACAATCAGTTGGAGATGAAGGCAGTGGTTTGCGGACCGAATCGAAATCCTCAAAAACCTGGTTCCATCTCATTATTTTCCCTCATTTGAACATGCTTCTGTGTAACTTCAGAACACAGGACTACTCTTTAAAATATTTAGATTTTCTGGGATTTCTTACATTCTATTCTAATTATCCAATGGCTGGGCTATTCTGTCGCTCAACTCTCCTGCCCACTCTTGTGAAACTGTCACTGGATTTAGGTTTCCCTGTTCCCAAAATGTGAGTGTGGATAATGACAAGGGGCTTAGTTCCAACCAACATTAGAACCTGACACAAAATTAGACGCTCGCCACATAGCACGATATTTATAAACGCTGTTCATGTTCTGAAACAGAGTCAGCCATAAAATACAGTATTTCACTTCTTTAAAAAAGGTTGGTAAACACTGCATTATCATGTTTTGGTTTTTCTCACCTTGTTTACTGCTTATTTATCAATAAAATGTGTAAGACATAACTCTCAGAAATGTTAAATCTATAAGATAGAAAATGTAGTCTTAGATAAATTTGACTTGTTTTTTCTTTTTCATTTCTGAGGTCCTCGGTGTTTCATAATACGTAATATTTATTATAAGCAGACAATATTATGACTGTTTCGTTTTGTCATGAATGTGTTGTGTAACAATGTACCAGTGTGCAGTGAGTGTTAGCGGTGTGCATCAGCAGACAGAGATGGACAGTGTGTTATTATCTGTTATTAAGAGTGGCAGCTCCCAACAGGCTGTGTGATGTATGACGGAGTCACACACACACATACACACACACACACACACACGGAGCAAGTATTTATTATACATGCAGCGCGGTGTGTGTGTCCGTCTGCGGGAGACGGTTGAGTCACTTTGACTCGGTTCAGTCCAACCCCAGTCATTGAGAAGCCAGAATCAACACTCCCACTCAGCAGTCGGAGGAACGCTCTCCTGCTTTGTTCTCTGTTTGTCTCACTGTCTGTATGTGCTGCCTTCGCTCGCTTCACGTTGTGTCTGACTCTACTACTCTGTCCCTTCTTTACTGTACGTCAGGTCAAAAAGTTCTAGGACAAATGAAATGAAAGTGTGTAAATAACAACATGCGTATTGACTGTGGAGTAAAGTGAAGTACATGGGTCGTAGTTAGGTTTCAAGTATAGTGCATGTCATTTTGCCATTGTTTAAGAATCTTATTCTGATTATCCCCATAAATCCACTCCTGAGATCAGCAACTCCTCCAACAATCTGAGACACATGTCCCAATGAGTATTTAATGTTACACTCCTCATTCCAAAAAAAGTCCAACTTGCGATGGATAAAAATAAACCAAACTTTGAACATGCTGTCAGTCCCACGCCAAACGTCTCAGCTGCCAACAATCTGGAGAGCAGCTCTACAGTAGCCCATTAGGTTTAAGAACTTTAGAGGGAAAAAAACTTCTTTATATGTTCTACAGAGTGGTGTCATTAATTGCAGGAGGTTCAATGGTATTCACTGATGGACCCATTCGGACGTCCATCACTCTGTTTGACCATGAATGAAAGGTCATTTGAGATGAACACCTCTCCTGCATTTAAACTTAAAAAATAGATTCAAATTCTAAATTATTTCAAATGTTCAAGGATCACCGATGACTTTTTGGTTCACTTGAACTTCGAGTTGAACAAGTGTACTTCTTAAGTCATCTTTTTGTCTTGGTGTTTTATGTGTGTCAGTTCTTGCCTAGAAATAAAACGGTTTCTGATTCTCAGCCTCATCACTACAGACTGGACTATTGTGTCTGAGTCTGAAGCCTGGATGATGAAACCTGTAGTCATCACACAACTAAAGGGCCTGATCACTGCTGTTTGTAGCTTTAATGTTGCCATTGTCCCTACGCTATACCTCTGTCCTTATCTACCCCCCTCACCCCTTTCTCTCATGCTCTCTCCATCCTTCATCCCAGCACCTTTGTCTCCGAACCTATTCATTTGATTTATACTTTTTCGTTTCTCATTATTTTTCCATCTCATATTTATATTTCTACATTGTTTAATCTCAGCACTACTCCACACTGGCCGAATGTAAATGTAGTCAGTGACAGGCGGCACCAAGACTCCTGCTCTGATTCTCTCCCTCTGCCCTCTAGTCATTAGTGAGATATTACATTTCTCCTTCTTCATCACCTCTTCTCTGTTTTGCTTTCATTTATTCCTCTCCTTTCCTTTCGTCTCCTCTGCTCTCATTGAGACACAAACTTGCATTTCCAATTGAGTTAAACTTTTTTAAATGTTGGGATAAAAGGAACAGTCTCCATGGCAACAGCAGGGGTGGGGCCGTTCCTCTTGGATTTTAATGATGAACTAAATGCTGCTGCTGCTGATGACGTCTGTCTCACTCTCATTCTGTTTGTTCTTCCACTCGAAAGACAAAATAAAAAAAAGAAATAGTGAAAGTAAATGTGTGTCTCATATGGATGCGTTGACTTTTATATAATATGACTATTATAATGAGCACGGGGACTGATGAAGAAAAGACAGAAAAAGAGAAGTGTTTTGTTTTTTGACCTCAGGCAAGTTGTAAAAGAAATTAAAGGGAGAATAGGGCAGCACCAGATGAGCTGATGTTTAATTAATAAAGCTCACCGTTAACTTCAACTTTTAGATAAAAAAGACAGTTAATAAGGCTTATCGAATGATATTTTTGGGACTCATCTGCTTGAAATGCTGCAGCACAACCACAAATACAATGACAAATCAACTACGCTTCCTGTGGACCCAGAGCCTACTTTGGGAACCACCACTGTCAGGTAAGACCACCAACTGCAGTCAATGGTATTTCTACCAAAAATAGCCTCATTTGCACATAAGCTAAGTTAGCTGAGCTTTGTTGCTTTCAAAGATAAACAGAATTTCCTAGAAACATAAAATGATGTGAACGCCTAAATCAGTGGTTTCTGCTTTTATCTTCGCCTCACTGAATCTTGGCTGCACAGTTTCTGAAACTGCCAAGAGACAAAGAATAATGTCTA